AGTGTGCTCAAGATGGATTGTTCACACTCATCGAGTACTGAATGACTTTCCTGTTTCCGCTAAGCTTCCTGTAACAGGACAGATTGTATCATAGGCTGCGATCATACCGTGCGACGCCGTCGTCAACGTCGACGTAACCGACGTTTTCGACGACTAGTTCGCGAAGATTATATACGTATCGATCCGACGTAACGGACGAAACCGACGAAAGCTGCGTGACTGACGAAAGCTGCGTCAGCTTTCGTCGGTTTCATTGGTTACGTCGGATCGATACGTATTTCGTCTTCGTGAAGTAGTCGTCGAAAACGTCGGTTACGTCGACGTTGACGACGACGTCGCACGGTATGAACGCAGCCATAGACAGCGTTCGGACTTCGCGATGAGCCGCTACGACAGGCTACCATTGCAGTAGCGCTCCAGCGCTTTAGACGGGAATGCAGTTACAGACAAGTATCAATCGCCGCCAGCTGCTAATGTTTCGAGGGAGTATGAAATAATATGAGAGTACGCGTTGCTTAATCACAGTATAGAGAGGGATAAAGGCCTGCCTGGACTGTGCGATTAGGCAAGGCGTGCTTTCCCATTATCCTGTACTCTCTCGAATCTAACTGCTACCGCCGATCGATATTCGTCTATGGCTGCGTTTGCGTCTGTCGCATTGCAGCGCCATTGCAATGATTGCACGTCGACGCGCGTAATCGCGAAGTCTGAACGCTGCCCTAGGAAAATTGCCCCAATCACTTCTAACAGCTCAGATCACTAACTGTGACCGCGCGTAGCTTATTTTATCTTGAAAAACCAACAATTGTCCCTAGTACACGTTCCACTCCATTCTTGCATAAGGCTGCGTTCATACTTCGCATCAGTGTTTCGAGCGCACGCCAGCATACAGCAGCGTTTTGGGCCATTAGAATCGTGTAGATATCGATAGAGTTTTGAGCGCATGCTGGCGTTTAGGCAGCATTCATACTTCGCGACAGCAGCGACGACCGCGGCTATCGCCCACAACCGTCGCTACGTGACATAGCGCGCCCCAACGCTATTACTAGACCGCCGCTATCCTACTATATATAATCCGCTAAGTGGTGTGTGTGTGTGTGTGTGTGTGTGTGTGTGTGTGTGTGTGTGTGTGTGTGTGTGTGTGTGTGTGTGTGTGTGTGTGTGTGTGTGTGTGTGTGTGTGTGTGTGTGTGTGTGTGTGTGTGTGTGTGTGTCTGTGTGTCACGAAATTCATAGCGAGCGTCGCAGAAAAGATAGGATGACAGTTCCAAGAAGTGATATACATGGCAGGACGGGAACACTTTTGGTGGGTGTCAGGAGGTGATAACACTTGATAAGATACGATAAGGGGCCTTAGAAGGGGAGGGTGACCGAAATCGTAGCGCAATTTGCAGCAGCTGCAGGACCGTGATTTCAAGAAGTGATATACATGGCAGGACGGGAACACTTTTGGTGGGTGACAGGAGGTGATAACACTTGATAAGATTCGATAAGGGGCCTTAGAAGGGGGGGGTGACCAACATCTAGCGCAAAATGCAGCAGCTGCGGGACCGTGATTTCAAGGAGTGATCACTCCTTGAAATCAAGCACGAATACATGGCAGGACGGGAACACTTTTGATGGGTGACAGGAGGTGATGACACTTGATAAGATTCGATAAGGGGCCTTAGAAGGGGAGGGTGACCGAAATCGTAGCGCAATTTGCAGCAGCTGCAGGACCGTGATTTCAAGAAGTGATATACATGGCAGGACGGGAACACTTTTGGGTGACAGGAGGTGATAACACTTGATAAGATTCGATAAGGGGCCTTAAAAGGGGAGGGTGACCGAATTCGTGGCAAGTTGCAGCAACGGCGGGACCATGATTTCAAGTACTGATATGCCGTAGGGTGGGGCTGGCAGAAGCTGATAACAGTTGATAAGATCCGATAAGGGGCCTCGGAAGAGGAGGGTCATCAAATTCGTGGCGCAGGTTACAGCAACAGTGGGAACTCAGATCCGTGAGGTGATATAGGGTGTGGGACGGGAACATTATTGGCGGGCGACAGAAAGTGATAACAGTTGATAAGATACGGTAAGCGGCCTCGGAAGGGGAGGGTCATCAGATTCGTAACGCAGGTTACAGCAACAGTGGGACCTCTGATCCGAGAGGCGATACAGGGTGATATGATAGTGATACGGGACGGGAGTGTTATTGGCGGGTACGGAAGTGATAGGAGCTAAAATTGACAAGGTAGCATGGGAAAATCCGCTTCACCGCTCACAACAACAATGCGATCGATATGACTCAAGTATAACGATCTCAGTGATTCCAACAGAACTCATTCCTCACTGCTTATTAGTAACGACATCGTGTACGACCGCTAAGCCAGCTCTATTCCAAATGCATGTGGTTTGTTTACAGAGATGTTATGAACAGCAGCAACTGACTTTATCACTCTTACCACAATTATCTTCCATCAGCAACTTCAGTGAGGGCCATTTAAAGGGTTCCACTGCTGAATGCGGTAGTGCATTCCAAAGCGCTTTAGGAAGACAGATTGCATAAATTATAGGCTGCTTCAGTGGCTGTCCAAACAGGCTGCACTATTTCCGTGTAGGTTATGAACGTACCAGTCGGATCGCTGGCTAAGGCCGGCTTTCCTCCTGTGATGCGGGATGGGGGGCGCTGCTGCTGCTTCTGCGCCTTGACGGAACAAGCGCTGCTTTTCAGTTCTTGGCTGATGCAGAAGATTCCTTTGAACAGTGTGGTTGGTCAACGATCCTTAACTTAGCACGCGGCAAATCCGCATGGCCCGGCGAAGCCGGGCCATGTCACAGAAGGAGGAGCGCCCGGCGACAGCCGGGCGATCCGACTGGTGGTAAATATTCCAACATGTGAGACCTTTTTTCATTAGTAATGGCTACTAAGTAACATGACTTTCTGTACTTAAGAGGATCTGGAATATGAGGAAGGAGGGATGGTGGGGGGGGGGGGTTCCACCTTCTCTTAGGTCGAGACAAGGGCAACTTCATTTCCTAGGTGGTGTTTCTTTTGTTTTCATTGTTTCAATTTATATAAGTGTCTTGAAACTTTCCTACTGGCCAAACTGTTCAACTTCCAAAACATTTATAATTTACAAGTAGAGTTCAAACAACGAAAAAAAAAGAAACGGAGAGGAACCCACCTAGGAATTAGAGGAACACTAATTCTTTTATGCAACAACGAGGAGGAGGAAACTTAATAAGTTCATGTATAAGCTCGAAGAATGAAAAAAGAAACAATAAGAAACTTACCTAGAAGCTCTGAAGCTCTCACACTTTTTGCTCATTTCTATCCTGAATCCTAAAAAAGAAAATAAAAAACAAAAGCATTAAGTTGGGTCCACCTTTCCTTGTGTCTAGCCAAGCTTTAGTACCTGGGACAGTTGCAGTCAAAAGGAAAAAGCACGAAATTGAGTCGATTCTTCCTCAAAGCACTCGGAGTGGTATAAGTAATAGCGTTGGGGCGCGCTCTGTCGCGTAAAGACGATCGCCGCTGCTGTCGCGAAGTATGAACGCTGCCTTAGAGTGTTTCGCGGGCAGTTTTGAGCTCCTAGCGGATAGCCGCTAAGAACGCTGCTGTACGCTCAAACCACCGACGCAAATTATGAATGTAGCCTAATTATCAGCCTTTCCAGCTTTTCCGTTCCCTTCCAGTACTTTTAAAGATTACCTCTTTCTAGGACGTGATGGACCATACTGTCGTGACAGTCGACAGTGTGGGCGTGGAGCGTCACTGTCTCCAGACTTTCTACTGCCGTGGGTGAATTTCTCTCCGATGTTCCCGTTAGATCGAAACATGTCGTCGTCAGGACATCGTCCTCCGCCTCCGCCACCGTCGTCACATTCTCATCATGCTACCCACCCGAATCAGTATGGTCTGTTCAATCGTATTTCGATTCCGCTTTTCCAGATCCTTGACTCTTTCAAATTATCAGGACATCCACCGCTCTACAAAGGCAACACGCAAAGTGCTGGACATCATGGTGCCACTCCACCGTCCCGACGAACGGTCTCTCTTAGCTCGTCGACTTACAGGCCACCAAGCAGTTATCCGACGAGCAGGTCTAAGTAGGTTTAAAAGTGATCCTGATTTCAACGCTTATATTTAGCTTCTATTTTTCAGCACTAGTATGTCATTGTACCAGAGTTCGAGTCAACCAGTTGGTGTGGCAAGTAATCAAAAAACTCGTAAACCCTATTTCATGCCGTATATGAGCCTTGAAGCCGTAACAAGAGGATTGGCCAATGGTGACCTAGTGAAGGTATGAGGTTATTTCAAGGGTCTATAAGGAATTTTAGACGTTATTCAATGACTATATATAAACGGCAACGTCTGTCTGTTTGTCTGTCTGTCTGTCTGTCTGTCTGTCCGGAAATTCGGAATCACCTGAAGAGCCAGTTGGAGGGGGCGGGTCAAGGGTGGGTTGGGTAGGGCATGGGCCAAGATGTACGGAACACACATGAACTGAGCTAAGCCCCGCCCACTGTGGGGGGCGTGCGCACAGTTGTGAGCTACATATTTCAAAAATTCGTAGTTCGGTTCTAGAAGATCCCGGAGAGCGGAAATTGTGGGAAACGATAAGCAGTCAGTTGGCGGATGAAATGAGGGAGTCACACCCGTGATGGGCGAGGCGTGCTATAGGTGGGCGGTGCTCGCTACAGAACTTTCAAAGGGGGTGTATACAAGGAGTGGTAAACGGTAAGCGGTAAAGTGCGTAATTCTCAAAGCAATTTTTCGTGCATTCAGTCCGGCAAAGCCGGCCGATCCGACTGGTCAATTTCTCAAGCGGCCAAACATCTAGAAGTCCAGTCAGAATAGTAGGGGCTTTTTAATGTGAAGGCCCATGCAAAGAATAATGGGTGGAGCGGGGGGGGGGCAGGGATTAGCCGGTGTCAACTTTTTCGTCCTCCCGAACGAGTTTGTTACCGCTTGACCAGCATCGGAGGGATAAAAAACTTTGTTAGCTCGAGCAGGAGGCAATCCGGGTTTCACCCAGTCCGCGCATGTAGTAAGTTGCCCCATTTGCCTCTACCCAACGTCTTGTTCGCTTCGGATGCTGGGGCGTGTCAGGAGGAATGAGTATGGCTCAGGTGCCATCTAGACGGATATTGATCCGATGCTGTCGTTTGTGTTTTAGCGAGCATTGAGACAACACGGGAGACGTACGCTCCTTCACACATCGTATTTTCCTAGTGCCTTATATTCTTTCAAACACAAGCAGCCGTGCCGCATCAAATATTCCGGTTGCGGCTCGTACTTCCCCATATAGCACGCGAAACACTACGTTCGTGGGTAGCGCGTCGACACGCGTCACCGACATAAGTTTGAATACCGCTCTCATCGGAAAAAAAAAATGTACCGCGGCTATTCTACTGGAAAGTGATCGAGCATTCTGAGATCAGTCAATGAACTTTCTCCACATTACATACCTGAGCTCCAATGATGACCATCGCTTGTCGGCTGTATTTTCGATCTTTATTCGGAGGGATGGTGAGATTCAGATTCGCTTTCCTTATATGAGGATCAGGCCAGTCCTCCAATAGAGACCTTAAAAGTTGAATAAGAGAAGTTCAATACAGTTACAGGTGGGTGGGGGGGGGGGGAGCCAATGAAAAAGTCACTTTTCTTCCTTGACTTTCGAGGCGCTATAAGTTACACTTTATAAATTTCTGATCGGAAATTTCCACCACCATCTTAAAGAGCATATTAAATACTATCATGACACTCCGCCACAGCCTTCTGGACGAGCGCCATCGAGAGATTCTGGCACGCGACCGCGATGTGGTGCCTGAGATCAGCGAGATAGTCGATTTCTCCGCCACCGTAGACCACCCTATTGAACTCCGCCCGAACCGGGTAATTGAGGGATTTCAGGTCAGGTGACCTACTTGGATATTCCATCTCCTTTAGGTACTCAACGCCCTTCCATTCCAAGTAGGCGAGAGTTTTTCCAACGCCCTCGATTCCATGTGGTGGCACCCAATGCTGTAGCAGTACAAAGTTTCCAAGAAGGTACGGGCGACGACATGTGGGGAAGATATTCTTCTTGAGTTGGTCGATGTAACCGCCAGCGCTCAGCTTCAGCCCGGGGTCCACGAAGAAAATATTGGTCTTTCCATTCCAGGTGCGTCCGGTCCATACCATCAACCCGCGCCTTGGCGACTGCCGTGAAGATGATGTCCTAGACCGTAGCGACGTTGTCGGAGCTGCTCGATGTTGGAGGTCTTCCAGATCGAGAGTACTGGTCTCCAGGTAGCTATCCATGGGTGACTCCATACTAGAAGTTTCGCAGCTGTTTGGAGGTGACGTGAATTCCAAAGGTCTTCTCCAGTCAGGCTGCGACTGGAGATGACTTCATATTTTGTACATGAAGGTGATGGGCGAGAGCCAGCTCCTGCTTATAGAGGAACATCTTGGGTATCTTCCGCCCTGGTACTCGTATCCACGTCCTCTGTCTGGGCTGCGAAAACTTTGCTGATATGTGACTCGATCGAAGTGACTTTTTTTATTGCCCCCCCCTGTATTGTAAGCCTAAGGCAGCGTTCAGACTTCGCGACGGCAGCGCTTCGGTCGCGCGTTCGATGCGATCAACGCAGTCGAAAGCATGCGTATCGATCGCGTCAAATGCGCGACTGAAGCGCTGCCGTCGCGAAGTCTGAACGCTGCCTAATACGATTAAATTAGGGAAGCTTGCTGGTGATAATATTAAAGCTGTCCCCAACTGGTAGGATGGCTGCGACAGGTAGTCGTATTCACCAACAAGCCGTGACCGTTACCTGATATCAATGCAGGAATTCTTCACTTGCGCAAGGTAGCCGGCTTCGCGGATGCAGAGGCACTCCGGCAGTACGTGATCTGATGCCTGCCATGCCTCCTTAGGGCAATCCCCGTCCAATGCAAATGGCACAATGAGGGTAGCGGTATCGTCTGTATGCTCGCTCTTGTCACCTAGTTTCTTTCCCTGTGCCTCCTCGTTTTGTCGCTGTATGACTATGCAAAGCACGAATCAACTGCGTTGGGAGGGACCCTCATCGAAGTTCTTTGCCTCTTTTCTCCAGAGGGTGAGATACTTAGCACCACACCTTTTCGGTTGAACGACACCTACTACGGTAAATGTGCCTTCAAGTAATATGATCCCTAGAGCTCTGTAAAAGCTGAACGCTATTCACTCACCTCAACGAGATCATCGGATTTCGGTGCTGCCACCGGCGGAATTGTTATCGGCTGACCATTATCCTCGCGGGAGACGTTCAGATGACCAGCGCGCCATGCCTGGTAGAGGTTCTCGCGGATCTTAACAAGGCCCAAATCAGAAATCATTCTTGTAAATTTACGCATTAAGTAACCCACCACCCAGTTCATGCGCTCTTTAATGCGCACAATCACCACATCGCCATGCAATGCTCGATTACGGTCGTGAACTCCAAGAATCAGAAGGTCCAGTTGATCATCGCCATCAGGATTGTCTACGTACGATTCTTCATAATTACGTTGGTTCACACATAGTGATCCCTGAACAGATTCAGCAATCGAAGCGGGTGAGCGAATGAAAAAATTCCTTTCTACTCATTCCTATACATCCTTCTAGATAAATCTGATGTCAACTTACCTGCTCCCCACCCCCCCCCTCCGCTCGCGAAGGGATTGGGCAGTCCTGCAGATGCTAGGCGGGTCAGGGA